GGCTGTGGAACTGGTTCCCTCTTCTGGAGGGATCCTGGCCCCCAAAAAAGTTGGATATGCTTGCTTGTGTCAGTCCGTCTTTACGGCTGGCACTGCTGAGCGGTTTCAATTTGTTTGCCCCAGCCGCGTCTGCATCTGCATCCGCGGCGGGTTCGGGGTTGGCCGCTATGTAATCCCGGGCAGATGTAAAACCCGCTGAAACGGTTATAGGAATTGTAGACCCGGTCGATGAGAAGTAGGTGGTCGATTTTGGCCCCTGGTTCATGTCTGACCGTCGTCGCTTTGGATTGGGCTCGCCAGAGGCATCATGAGAGGTAGATATGTCATCGATCTTGCTGCGGTCTTCTTCGCCCTCGGGTGTCCATCGGTCGTCCAGCGTCGATGGAAGAAACTCGAGCCCCTTGTAGATGTCCTCTAAAGATGGCCGAGGGCGGCGCAGAATATCGGCAATTGCATACACCACCTTCTCATGAAGAGACGGCCCCGTTGCCCGAAAGCGTGATTTGGTCAGCTTGGGAGGAAGGAACGGCGACAAGGTCGTTGCACCGTCTTCTCCTTCTCCCAACCTGGGTTGTCGAATAGGGATACTCAGGTATAACAGGGCCTGTGCCCTTGTCATTGCGACATACAGCAATCGTCTCTCTTCTTCTACCACCTCCGCACGCGAGTGAGGAATGCTCCCGTTGTATACAGCGGGAACAAACACAACCGGCCACTCTAGGCCTTTGGCAGCGTGTATAGTTGAAATAGTGACTTTCTCCGTCGGCTGGTCTCCCTCCTTGGCCTCTTCTTTGGTTGTGATCTCCGTAGCCAATGCGACATTTGCCAGGAACCGAGTGAGAGCCTCCTCGCCAGAATGGGCCTGTTGCTGCTCCACACCTTCGATTACAGGGAGATCCATTTCTTTATCAACCTCCTCTTCTTCGAATGCTGCCACTTCAGTGGCTTGATGCATCAATTCTTTGACATTTGCCCAGCGACTGTCTTCGTCAAGGGGATATGTCCTAATGAGGTACTCTTGGAACGAGAGACGTTCGGCAATGAACTCGATCAGAACACGAGGAGCCGATGCATCCTCACACTCTTGCAACTTTTGTCTAGAGGCTTCAATCAAATTGATCAAAGCGCAAAGTCCCTGTTCTGCAGCCTTCTGCAGTTTCTTCTCAGTCGAACGGCGCCCTTGGATGACATCTTTGATGAAGTTCCACAGTGGAATTTTGGCCTTCTCCGCACCACTAGTCAATTGCTTGATTGTCTCGTCCCCAATCCTTCGTGACGGAACATTGACAATATTCATCAATGCGTCCGAATGCCCCGTGTGGCTCACAACCCTCATATAATTGAGAAGAATCTTGACTTCAGTTCTGTCAAAGAATTTGCGGCCGCCAACCATCTTGTACGGTATACCGGCTCTTCCAAAGGCGGTCTCGATTTGTGTAGACAGCGCAGCCGATCGAAGCAGGACAGCAAAGTCAGACATGCGCAATAGACCGCCGCTCATCGCTACACATCGCTTGATCTCAAGTACCATCCACTGCGCCTCTGCGTTGGGATTTGGGAGCCTTCTCAGCACCGGCAGGGTTCCGAAAGTGTGAGTAGCCAAAAGTGCTTTTGCAGGCCGACTTGTATCCTGCTCAATCACTTCTTGGGCTGCATTTAAGATAGAGCCCGCAGAGCGGTAATTGTCTTCCAAGAGTACAACTGTTGTGTTTGAATATAACCGCTGCATCCGCTTGAGATTCTGGATCTCTGCAGAGCGAAACCCGTAGATGCTTTGATCCGGATCTCCGACGATGGTGATTCGTCGGTTCTTAGATGCGAAGAGATTCATCAGTTCATATTGTATGATATTAGTGTCCTGGAACTCATCCACCAAGACGGCCTGCACATTTGAGACACATTCTGGGTGATCTCGGAGCAGGTCTCCACATCGCAATAGGAGGTCATCATAATCCAAGAGGTTGGAGGCCGCCAGTGATGATTCGTAGTCACGATAGATATCAACAAGCTCCGACTCCTCTGCTTTGGCTCTATCGGCCACGGCATCAGGAGTGAGTCCATGTGCTTTATGTCGAGAAATTCGGCCTTGCGCCGCCTTGACTTCAATACTAGACTTCAGTCGTTTAATGGTTCTCTGCGGTCACAATTAGAGAAGAGAAACAAACTAATACAATACAAAGGCGCGAATCATACTCTGATAATTGCGCGGGTATCATCCGAATCCGCAATGCCAAACCCCTTCCGCAGACCGATCAAGTATCCGTACTTGACCAAGTAGCGGCGACAGATGGAATGGAAAGTGCCAAGAATCAAGCGTGATTCGAGTTTTTCTCCGATAAGTTTTGCGAGTCGCTCGCGCATCTCACGGCTGGCTTTAATCGTGAATGTGCAACAGATAACATCTTGAGGTTGGTATCCGTGGTGTGAGAGGAGGTACGCGACGCGTGCGGTCAAGGTCTTTGTTTTGCCCGAGCCCGGTGGTGCGAGCACTTGGAGGATTGAGCCGGATGAGGTGACAGCTTCTCGCTGGGCATGGTTCAAGCCATCTAAGATCGGATCCATGACATGTGGGGTGTTTGACCAATACGCGAGTGCTTGTGATGAGGAGACGCGAGAAAACGCGACGTCATGTGACACTTTCGCTCTACATTGCGGAAGTCGATTGTTTGAAGAATGAATGGAATTGGAAGTTGCTACTTGTCTCTTGATTGTAGAATTTTGATACTTTAGATACGAGATAGTATCGAGGGGTAATTGTGAGATGACAAGCCATGAAGGCCTCCGCGGAGTGCATAGCGGGCTGAATAGAGGTGGTTTAGCGAGAGTATTTTTCATGTCCAATTTTGTAGCATATAGACATCTTATATGCCTGACTTGGCTAACTCAGATTCATGGTATATGCTGACCCTGAATGTTCTATTGTTACTATAAAAATGGAAATCCCAATATTTTGATAATCTGATACGAAAATGAGATCTTCATACTTTCAACCTTCCTACATTTTTATAGGCAATATTATTCTGATTCTTTTTGCATATGGTTGCACATGATATTTTTATAGACAAAAAAGCGCAGTTCATTGCTCTCGGGGGTTGCCATTCGTGCTTTATTTTCACCATAGGAAGAACAACCGAAATGGACAAGTCTCTATCGAGTACCACATGGAGTACCACATGAAAATCCCTTCCAAATAATAAGTCTTATGCCAACCGAACTCCTTACATATTAGCGCCTCACTGTTACCAGCCCTTTGGTTCTACTCCATACAAGACTGAGAACTCCACCGTGGAATTACCGAGTTTGGCAGGTGCTGCCTCAAAAGTCCACTCGATCCAAACAGACGAATGGGAGTGGCTTTATATAATTGAGCACTTGATCATCAGTAGTTATGGCAAGTAATGTAGGCTTCCTCTACGGAGCACTCCAGGAGATATTCCATCGTTGCAGCCAGACTCAAGAGAGTTTATCAGCACAATCTCGGCTCGAGGGAAAAAAAAAGCAAATTATATCATTGCTGATAATCAAATCGCTTGGCATACAAATGCGTTCAAGTGCTACCAAGAACGGCACGGGATATGCAAATTCATCAAAATCGATACGGATGATAGGTAGAGTTTCCCAGAATGTGACTGTACTTCATTAATACAGTTCCACGCCCGGATTTGACTAAGATGCAAAACTCCAACCCAAGTTGAGATGTGTGGTCTAGATGAACGAAGTAGTATTCGGAGTCCGGAGTCGGAATTTGGGACTTTTGTACGAAAGACAACTAGATGAAAACTCGGACTTGAAAGTGTTCCCGTCGGAGTTATCGTCGCAGGACTCGCTAGTAAGGTCCCCAAGCTCTTTTGTTTGACATTTCTCTTTCAATCTTCACCGGCAGTGGGGTCCGATGTCTCCCGTCGTGCCGGATTCCGACCTGCCTATCTCATACAAGCGCTGAAGCAAAGCGGGACAGGCCCCATGAAGAGAGGATCTCGGGATGAATGTTAAATCTTCCTTCCGTGGACTCAAAGGAATCGGCTATTAGGCCACAAAAGGCAGGTCCGGTAAAGTGTTATAATAGACCTCGCTTGCATTTCCGTTTTGGGGTTCACTTCTCGCCACTGTGTTATTACCTGAGAATAATTCCGGTTATATATTAGGTTGCTCAGGGCCTGGGCCCCGGGTCGATCCATCTTAGGAGCTTAAGCGTTGCTACCTCGCATATATTGTACTTATCCTTGAACACACTGGAATCTATATGGCGGGACGAACTTGGCATGGGTGAAGTCAGTAAGGTATTGATTGGAATCTATAAAGCAGCTTTCTAGGCACAAATTCAATCAAATGACTATATTATGTAAATGCCACCAGTCAAGAGAAATATAAGGAAAGCCACTGAGTATAGTTGCTGCTCCTAGAACCTTGTGTTAGGATAGATAAATGTAGTGATAAATGCAAGACACGCCTGCTAGGAGCGGGATCAATGGGATTGTTCTAGATTACCCCGAATAAAAAAAAGGTACATGATGCAAGAACAGTGAAAGCAGGGCTGCTCGGTATCATGTTACTGCAACCTTTCATGAATCTCTACAAGAGCATTCAACTGGACCTTGAGAGAACAAGGTTAATTCCAAGGCCTGTTACTTTAGTCAATAGGACATTTTTACACTCAGAATGATTAAGATGGAGAGTACATGGAATATCTGTCGACTAGATAAGTCACATAGGATACCCGGCACGTACACAGGATTCTGAGCAACTAGATTGTCTTGATTCCAAGGCGTCATCTGTGACTTAGGATGAAGTCACTACTTTCCTTCTCTAACTCTCTCGTTCTGCCTGTCATGCTTGAATGCTAAATTCCATCCCTACTGGAGATTCTGGTATCAAGTAGTGTCAACGTGCAAGTCGTGCAAGTCGTGGAAGATTAACGAATTGATTGCGTTTTCATGCTTGAGTGGTCTGTCTATTAATACACATATTGGCTTTTTTTTAAAAAAAAAAAAAAAAAAAATCTAGCACACGAAAACAGCCATGTCGCCAATGTTGGGACCCTAGGTAAATACTGAGTTAGTACTTTTTCCCCTGCCAGCTTGGAGGATAATGCACTTACCATATAAACAAGATTCCGGTGAACGATACGCCAGGCACCAGTAGATTGAAGTTCCCAGTTATCCTGGTATTGGCCATAGGCATAGGCTACATCGTTTGCCTTGTCTCCCTTTCCGAAGTGGGCAGCACGGTAGTAAGTCACCGACTTGGCCGTTTTGGGTGAGAGTACATCAATCCGTTGTGTACCATACATATGCTGCGTGGTCACACAGCCCAAGCTTGTGTCCAGCACAGATTGAATGTTTGTCAGTGGGGTCAACACGTTGAGGGGCGCTGAGTAGTTGGCTACCGCATCGGCGGTAAAGACCTTGCTAAGGGCGGTGAATTCTTTGCCATCAATAGCAAAAGCATAGAGGGCTAGTGTATTTCGGATTGCTTCGACTGTGCTCGCATCGATATGGGGCTCGGAGGTGTAGGTACCGGCAAGGGACGAAATGTCAATGGGGGCGACATCGCTGGTCGTGGATGCCACGGCCGAGCTTGCGACGGCGAAGAGTGCGCAGAAAGAAAGGAATTTCATTTTGTTCACAGAAGAATCAATCGGATGTATACGAAGGCAAGAATGGAGCAGGGATGTTGCTCTTTATTATAGGAGATTATGTACTTTATAATCCTCCAATCTCAAAATGTCGGTTGTGCTTCCCCCTGAGATCCGAGATGAAACGAACCGACCATTTCCGCTCATACGGAGGAATTGCTACTCATGAGTTAGTGCCGTAAAATTAGACTAATTGGAACAATGCGTAAAGCTTAGCGTCCCAGGTTGTTGTCCAACAGCCAATATGAGAGGACAATATAAATCGAATCCATTATGGAGAATACATTGACACGACGAAAGGCTTCGTTTCGTCCATTAGATCTCGAAGTGGGGACAGTATGGGTATCGGCTCGACGCGACGACTGCGGGCTTTTTCTCCAAATTGACCATTGCCGTTACTCTGTCGTTGGCTGTAGCTGCGCCAGGGATATTAAGCGGGATACAAGCGCAATTAAAATCTCTAGGCGTCAACTAGTCTGAAAACGTTCTTGCGGAGTTCAACTGTACTCTGTGCTCTGTGCCTCCCTAGTTTTTGGAAACAATCAACTGAAAGATTAATTTCGTCTACCGAGTCCCCATCCTAACCCTCTCAGCAACGGGTAACTCGTGTCGTATCCGGGCCGAAGCGAAGAATGCCCCAGGATGGATCTGGCCCCCACATATCTGGCCCCCAACATAGCTTTTGAGGCGGCCCCAGAATGTGCCCTAGTGTGAGCTCCAACTCCATACCCCCGCAATTATGCCTTGCATCGTCGCTGTAATAGGTCTACCATATATATCGTAGAATTCCTGTGCAGATGCCAGACCCCAAGATACACTGGCAATGTTCTTTGGTAAACCGTAGGTGTCAATCCCAGCATTTCTGTCCAAAATGGATTTGGCCATCCACTATCTCTCCTCGGGCTGGGAGAAACGAGTCGAAGCCACAATGGAGACTCCATTGATATCCCAACAGGGTCAGACGGTAAGAATCTTTGATCCCAAACAACAATTTATTCTGAGCTTAACATTGTTAGATAGTGATGTGGATCGGTGTGGCACTTTCATTTGTTCTCATTGTTATTCGAACATACGTGCAATACCAAAATAGCAAGCAGCTATTCCTCAATGACTACTGGATATTCCTCGCCATGATTTGCCATATAGCAACCGCTATAGTCTTCCAATTTGCCATGTCCCCGATGTATGAGGTCGCGTCTATCGGGGCACGGTTGAAGACTCCGACAGCGGGATTTATGGATCGAGCATCGCTTTACCTCAAATTACAATATGCAGCCGATCTGCTCATATGGACCACATTGTGGTCGGTCAAGTTTTCGCTTCTCTTCTTCTTCTGGCGATTGTTCGACTCGGTGAATTCTTCTATAAAAATGTTTTGGTGGATCATGTGTGGGATCACTGCATCGACATGGATGATAAGTGTGGTGATGCAGGAATTCGCTTGTGATCCTACCAGCAATTTCTTCACACTAGGTAAAAAGTCCAGAGCTTAGTTTTCATTCCATATTCTAACTCGGTCTAGGAGCATGTTCGTCCAAGAGAGACTTATTCATATCGAATCTCATTTTCCGCTTTTCTATTGGGACCGACATCGCAGTTGATGTTTGCAGTTAGTTATTCCTTCATCTCAATCGAACTGGCTCGTATATTAACCCATCTCATATAGTAATGTTGATTCCCTTTCCCCTTCTTTACAAATTGAAGGTCAACCCTCGAAAGCGCTGGATCTTGATTGGTTTGTTCGCACTGCCAATTATTCCAATTATATTCGCCATCTTACGTCTGGTTATGACCAATCCAAAAACACACAACGTCGATCCGATAAAGTTCCAACTGTTCTCTATGCTAGAAAACACTGTTGCGATTGTTACCTCCTGTATACCCGCATTCCGTCTCTTCATTGCCAACGCGCACAGCCCCACGGTCCACAGCAGTTCACGACCCTCTCGGTATTCGCGAGGCTTTCATGGTACATACAGAGATCTTGGAGCCTCATCGATAAACAAGCCACAGGGGGGAATTCCTTTCAATACCTTGAGCTGTGCATCTCATGATACACATATAGTTCACGATGGAGCCTCAATTGGGAAAGCAGTTTCAAAGGACAGGGACGAAGAGTCTCTCGGTTCTCGCGATCTCACACCTACTCACGGTGTTCTTGTCACACGCGAATATTGTGTCACCTGATTCAAAATAGCAATAGATTAATCTCGACATACATAATGATAGCCCTTGATGGCGCTGCCATCGTGACTACAGCGTGGGTGTGTGGTGAATCATTTGCCCAGTCCATCGCTGACCAATACGCAGGATACAAACACAGTGTTAAGAATCTATGATATACTACCTTTAACATACACAACATGGCTATATGGGTCTTTGCTCATACGTATATCAACTATGCACGGGCCATTTTGGTATATCCACATCTGCCGAGGCCCGCCGATTTAATATTCGACGACGATCACTATGCGTGCAGCGCCTAAGAAATAGTACTCACGTCCTGGTGCTTACTCGGTAATCTCTTTGAGTAAAGGGACCAGTCATCTAGATCTCAAGGGATCAAATTGGAGTCGATGAAATACCAAAAAAAGAATTTTATCCTATTTGGATCAGTAACGCGTCAAATCGGTAGATAATTATTCAATGCTAGCCAGCAATGACTCTCTGTAGAACTTAGCACAAGGCCGAGGCAGTATGAGCCCATCAAATTTCTCAGAAAAGTGGCAGCTAAGATAGACCTGGTGTAGAGAGAAGTCAATATACAAATGAAGGATACTACGGATTAAGTAGCTATAGATTTCATGGTCAAAGAGAAGACTCTGTATTAAGAATATAATGCTCGCTTGAATAACGCTTGTCCTGAATAATGAAAATATATCATCGCAGCCACACCAGTATATGTCCAATCGAAAATCACAACACCAATCAATATTCTCAGGAGGGTATCACGCCATGTGTCTTGAAATCAGCCAAGGACATCTTCCAAAAAAAAAAAAAACAGAGAAAAAAAATCTATCAAGAAAAGATGCCCAAGGGCAGTGTCATGGCCACTTCGTAGTTAGGCACGTTGACCACTTCGGCGATATGCAAGTCACCAGCAACACTAGCAAGGATGTACGCCTCACTGCGAGTCAGACCTTTAGTCTGCACCAGCCATTGTATAAGATTCCGAGTAGCATTTCTGGTAGCCTCGTACAGGTCAGGAGCAACACCGAGAGCACCGTATGTTCCAAGGTCGGGAAGGGGGTTTGGTATTTGGGCGCGGGGGGGAGTCTGGAATTGGGGAGCTGTCATCCAGGGTTGGTTCTTGAGGAGCTCAAAGCGGAGAGTAGCGCGAATCGGGGTTTCGATGGCGGTGCCGCAGACCTCGCCGTGGCCCTGGGCAGCGTGACCGTCACCGCAGCTGAAGAGGGCGCCAGCAGTTTGGACAGGCAGGAAGACGGTAGAGCCGACGCTGAGTTCTCGGCAGTCCATGTTTCCGCCAGCGTTTGTGGGCGGCACGGTCGAGAGTTCTTCATCGTTGGCTGGGGCGAGACCCATACATCCGAGGAAAGGACGCAAGGGGATCCGCATGTCTTTGAATTGGGCGAAGCCTGCTTCGCGGTTTAGCTCCCAGATCTTGATCTCTGGCTCTGGGAATTCATCTGCCAGCAGACCGAAGCCTGGGATGATGGCGGACCAGCCCCAGTCGGCGACCTCGAGGTCTAGGACTTCCACTTTAAGGACATCACCAGGCTGGGCGTCGTTCATATAGATCGGGCCGAAGACGGGATTGGCTAGGCCGAGATCTAATGTCTTGATGGCCGAGGCCTTGGATGACGTGTCGAGCTGACCATTGCTACTGTCGATAGCATCGAAGGAGACAGTCTCGCCGGAGGAGATAGTGAACTTGGGGGTGTTTCGTCGAGACCACTTCTGGTGGCTACAATCTCTTCCCACATGGAAGTTACTCCATTCCTTTGGTGCCATATCGGATGCGTGAGTCGGAGATCCCCGGGTTCCTGTCAGGGTTATCGGACAGATGCGATATATGAAAAGACGGATCTAAAACCAATAACGAAAATGGAAAAAATCAGATCAGGGGAAGGAAAAAAATCAGTGGAATAGACGGGCGATTATGTATCTAATGAGTCCTGGAGATCCTCTTCAGGATTGACCGTTCTGGAAGGTGGCTACAACCGGATCTTATGCTTCTTTTTACCAGCTCCACCCCGAGACTCAGTCGCCTGCCTAAAGTAGTTTGACAGGTTTCCAACAGATTGGTCCCCTCCCCCTCCCCTCCCCCTGTCGGGGTCTCTGGGTTTTCAATAGTAGCTCCATTGGAGTATGAATAATGCCGAGATCTGGTTGGATAACACGTGTAAGCGACAACCTTGTAGGGCGGGGAGGTCACGGAGAAGCCGATAACATTATATACTGTTATAGTTTCAAATGTATATATAAAATTCAAATTGCATCATTTAACAGAAAGTAACCTTGGAAAAGCCGAGCACCTAAGTTTCTCTAAACCTTGGAACTGCCTAGATTTCCCTGGCTTTCGCCGTATAAAAACGCCACAACTGAATTGATTGGTAAGGGTTTCTTCTTTTTTTTCCCTTTTCACTTAGGCTCGGACCAAGAAATGAAAAGGGAAATAGTTAAATGATTTATAAAATATTAAAAAAAAAATTTGGAATCAAAATATTCAAGGAAAATCCAGAATAGTCCAACACCACCTTCTTCATTGGGTAAGGAGCGAACCGTTGGTGGACTGTGAGTGGCACAGCTGCACAACATTTTCCAAAGTGGAACTTTTTACTTTTTGCTAACTATAGGACTATACGACCATTGATATGTAGCATTGTCTATACCTCACGATCCCTGTCCATCCAACATCGCTACAATGCATGTTGCATTGTCACTGTGAGGCTTGCTAGCACTATTGGTCGCGATGTCTTGTGCAATTTCACTCGCTCGTTTTCCCCGCATCGATAATTTCATCACGTGTTGAACTAGGTTCGTGTCGTCCACTCGATCGGTAACTCCGTCGGACACCACCAGTAACAGGTAACGGCGGTCTGTGTACAATGTCCGTCGCGACGTATATGGATCATTGGATAGGAAGTTACCCCGAGTTTCCGATCGGCTTGTAGCTGATGAGGCGGGGTCTGATACGGAGGTATCCGTGAAAGTATTCACCGGATTTTTGTACTGCAAGTCACCTAATGCTCGAGACATGTTCAAGGAGCCTGTCCCACGGAGTCAGTTTCTGGTTTTGAGGGCGGATCTCCTTTTTCACCCACCAAGTCGCTGTGTGCCGCTGCGGTCAACAACTACACCGCCTGCCTGCTCAATTCGTGTCTTTTCGCTGGGAGTACCGGGCTTGTGAGCCTCTGTGAGACGTCGCTGGTATGTGGCTATTAGTATGCACGTTCAAATCCACTCGATCAACCGCAGTGCGTACAATGTGATACGGGTGCTCTGTTTTCTGGTCCCGCTCGGCCAGGATAACATGCGTGTCACCTAGATTGGAAACGACCAGCTCACCCTTGGTGAGATTAATGCAGCATATTGCCACGGTCGACCCCGAAATGGCAGGCTCGGAAGATTCATGCTTGAACCTATCCAACAGAAGGCTGTCTTCCTCCGCCAGTGCTGCCTTGATAGCTCCGGCCCAATCTTCTCGTTCAAACTCCGGACGCCGTCCAAGCAGGTGGTGGAGACTATCATTGACATGTTCTGAAACCAATCCAGAGCCGCTGAAGATATTTATTAGTGTGAGACTGGTTCAAAGGACGCACTTCGAGGCTTTCCTTACTGCCCATCATAGATTGCGAAGAATGCAACTTTGTCCTTCATGTTCGAAGGAAACTGATCCGGAAAGATCACCGCGCAACGATCCTCTTGGTGCTTCCTACCACCTTGGGACTGCCATTTGATTATTAGTGAGTACGATAGCTGTGCAATGGCCTTGAGCCTTGACACTCACTTGACCAGCCCCAGCATCAAATAGCGTGACTGCGTCTGAGGTAGACATTGTTCTACGGAACATCTGGTCCCTCAGAGCCCTGTGAGCCACAACCATTCTTGGGCAGACAATGTACAAAAATCAAGCCCTCGTATCACTGGTGAAGGACGTGGGCAACTATAAATGATGATGCACTGACATCATGGACGCCTTCTGTTTTTGACTGATACTTTATTTACCACCGACATTCAATTGGTGGCTTCCAATGGCTTCCCCGGAGTTCATTCCTTCCCCAGACAGCTTTGCCAGCGATGTCTGGCATTTGACTGCCGTCCGTGTATTCTTTTTAACGGCACTTAGGGCAGATAGCCTAGTAATTTCTCTTCTTTTAGGCATCTAAATATGATGGGCCTAATTAATCTACCAAACTAGCGAAATATCGAATATCACCTTACCAAATAGTATTTGACCTTGTGGTGAACAGACCCCAAATGCTACATATAACATAGATCCCCCCATTTATAGCGCACGGACCAGTTTTTCGGCGAACCTGCAAGATCGTAATTCTAATCAGGAACAACACTCTGGACTCACTTTCCTCACTTTCAGTGCATTTCTAATTTAGTTCGGCATGGGCTGGGTAGGTGCGGGCGTGCTTATCGCAACAGCAGCCTACTTTCTCTACCGCTACCCTCCTCGCAGCTGGGCCGAGCCTCGTTCTTTCGCCCCTCCGGGACCCAGCCCCGACGCGCCGGTTGCCGCTGCCACCACAGATGAGCCTGTGCAGCGAAAGCATGGCTCAGAGGCCTCGACGCCATTAATAGAGACAGAGGAGGAGGATGAGGATTTCCAAAGCACACCCAAGGCTACGGCTTCGAGCGCACCACCCCCCGTCCTTGCAGTCCCTACATTTAGCCTGGACAGTGGCGAGCGCCAGACATCGAAACCTGCCACGATGCCATCCATTTCACAACCCGTGAATGGAACAACAGAACAACTATTCTCGACAGACCGAGATCATGTACCAAAGTTTCAACCGCCACTACAGCCATCCCTCGCACCTCCTCCAAAGCCACAATCATCATCTATCCCCCCGAAGGCAACCACCACTGGCGCCTCTTCCCTAATGCCTCCTCCACCGGTGCCACGGCCCCGACCAGCATCTCAAGTGAACCGTCTCACACCCACAAGCACGCTCCAACCCCCACGGCTCAGTGGAAACTCCCTTGGCCCTCCACCATCAGCCGCTGCCACTCAGCGCGGCCTAGGTGCACCGAGTAGCGGCAGCCGTCTTAGCAACAGCACTCTTGCCCCGACACAAGTATCTCTAAAGAAGTCCTCGTCGCGCAAGGTGATTCTCGAGCCTGGATTCTCGCCCCTTGACTGGGCAGCGCTAGCAGCGAACCCGAAGAACAAGCTCCGCGGCGAAGGCCTTCCCCCAGGCCTGCTGAGGGTTACACCGTCAATGCTAAAGGAGCAGCATGGGCGTAAGGGTCGGGATGCCTGGACTTCATACCATGGAAAGGTGTACAATATCTCGCCCTACGCCCCTTACCATCCAGGTGGGAAGGGTGAGCTCCTCCGTGGCGCGGGGAAGGACTCTGCACAGCTGTTTCAAGAGATCCACCCGTGGGTCAACTGGGAAGGGATCCTCGGCGAGTGTCTGGTCGGAATTCTGGTTTCGGAGCATGATGTCCAGACCGAGAATGCTCTGGATGCGATGGACTGATACCTGGTCCACTGTTTGATTGCTGTTTTACATTGCTGTAATTGTTCGGCCGGTTTGTATACCGTGTACATCTTACCATATATAGATGAGATACCCAGCTGCTATATTATATAACAACTTGCATGCGAAAATTTGTATATTTGTTCTTGACCGAATATGGCCTGGTCATCAGAATCCCTCCCAGAGAGAACCATATAGGTAGGTATTAAGCACCGCTTGTTCAAAGCTCATCCTTCACACCATCAATACCGACCAGCTCGGTCTCAAACACCAAAGTCGCACCGCCGGGAATAGGGCCAACACCGCGGTCGCCGTAACCGAACTCGGGCGGGATAGTCAGCGTGCGCTTCTCGCCAATGCACATGTCCAGCAAGCCCTGGTCCCATCTGTACACAACGAACGCACGAATTAGCTTCCAAATCTATGAGGATGTTTGTAGGCAATTGAGCAGTTGACATCCACAAACAGCCCAGGATAGCGTTCCAACTCACCCCTTGATAACACGACCGGTACCCAGCTTGAAGGTCAAAGGCGCTTTGCGCTTGTAGCTGGAATCGAACTCAGATCCATCGGACTGCAAAGTACCGCGGTAGTGCATGGCAACTCCGTCGCCGTTGGTTGTCTTGCGGGTGCACTCGACAGCGTTGGTGACTTCAATGCCGAGGTCGGCGGCAGCCACAAGGGAGCCGAGGGCTGCGACGAGGATGGAAGTGAGACGCATTGTGTGTTTATGGGGTGGATTGGGGGGGAAAGAGATGAGTTTGGGAATGTGGACAGATAAGGCGGAGATTAGACCGAGCCCTGGAGGTTTAGCGTTGGTCTGTGCTTTAAGCTCATGGTTTCGAGGTTTACCTCCATTGATTGATAACGATGGATATAGTATTTATTACATGTTCTGTCTGTTATCAATTCTTTTGGACTAGATGAGCGAGGAGTCCTCGCAAGACACCAATTGTTCTACACCAAAGATGCCAAAGGAAGTAGAGGTCGGATATATATTTATAATGGTTACATACTTCGGATTACTTGAATAATTTGTGTTATTATTGACTGCAATCATGGGGACATCACGTTGTTTGCTACAACTAAGGTATGAGCAACTGTCGGTTAAGACTATCGGGGGATGTCATGAAATCCCCATCCATTACCTTCGGCTATCTACCGATTGTCGTGCACCAAAAGCCCTTCTAACCCTTCACCGTCTGGTTCACGAATTTGGTATCATCATTAGGAAGACCCGGGGTAATGACCTGATCAGCAGCCGCCTGCAAATCATCCTCGCCCATATCGCCATCCCAACCGTTGGAAACAAGGTAAGCACGGAATTTCTCATCGCGCACCCTTAAATCTTCACCCGTCAAAGCAGGTACAAAGAAGTAAGTCACCAGAATCCCAACAACGCCACAAATAGCAGCAATAATAAAAGTCCACTTGTTCCCTAGATGGTCCTTAATAGGCTGAAACGCCTGCGTACCGATAGCAGCACCCGCCTTCCCAATCGCCGCAGAGAGTCCATAGCAAGTTCCCCGCACACCGGTAGCATACGACTCGGATGAAATAAGACCCAGCATATTGCCCGGACCGAAATTACCAGAGCTTTGCATCAGTCCGTAGAAGACGACGAAGAGAGGCACGATCTTAGTAATGCGATCATAGGCGCAGCCGATAATCAGGCCGAAGATGAGGTATCCGCTGAAGCCGATCATCATGATGGGCTTGCGGCCAAGGCGGTCGCAGAGAATCGCCCCGAGGAAGACGCCCGGCAGCGCAATTGCGCCAAGGAGGAGTTGCCATTCGCCTGTTTGCAGGATTGTGCCGTCGGGCACGACCGAGGAGATAATTGTACCGGAGAAGACGCCATTGGGGAAAGTGACAAAGTCTATACATATTAGTGTCCACACAAACTCTGTTAATATAGGGTGGGGGGCTATCTTACCGTAAAGAAACCAAGCACCGCAAGTTCCAATTAATGATTTCCAGTAATACCGCAACACGAGGGTATAGGGTACGCGCTTCTTGATTGCTCCGCGTCGGTATAGCACCGAGTTCAGCATGCGGATTCGGAAGTAGAACACTGACAGCGGCCAGATGCATCCTATGCCAAAGCACACCCGCCACACGGTGCTATAGTGGGACTGCTGGCAGGCCAGGAGTACGATCAAGAATATCGAGACTGCAAATGGGCCCCCAAACGACAGGGGGAAGTTTGTTACCATGATGAATGCCGGACCACGATGCTTCGGGGTTAGATCGTTTGCTGCTTCCGAGGCGGATGTTGAAGATGCTGGGTACTCGCCACCGGCGCCTGGAGATAGTAGAGTAAACAAATTGGAATGATGCCTTTAGATATACAAGTAATGCTACACGTTGAGTTTTACTTACCGAACCCGACAATGCCACGGGCAATTGTCATCATCCAGAACATGCCATTAATGGTAACGCCATGCGAGGCTGTGGCGAGAATACCTCCAACGACAATCATGAGGGTTGTAAAGACGATAGCGGTCTTACGACCGAGATAGTCGCAAGTCAGTCTGGGATAGTATCGTCAGCCATCAGAACAATTCAATAGCCCTAACATTTAGTAGTGTCTTGTTCATACCCGATAACAACCTGTCCAATGACTTCGCCGACGAGTAGAGCATTCGAAACGCGCGTGCTGACGGTGGTGGTATACTCCTTGGGATATTCCTTTTTGAGGAGGACATTGGTCATAGTCCTTTAAGGTGATCTGTGGTTAGACACAAGTCGTGTATGGGAGCAATCACTCAACTCACATCAGATTGTTTTGGTATCCATCGCTGATTAGAGCGAATCCGCTTGCAAACTATTAAACATAACCCGATTGGTCAGTCTGTCACTTGCTAATCTGAACCACGAGTGCGGGGGAAGCAAAAACTAATCTGGCAAGGATCTTCTGAGATGATGAACTCACAATAGTGAAGAGATCCGACAGACTTTGTTGCTTCAACGGCGTACCCGATGAATGAGCAGGGTCACCTTGGTCGATAGTGTCTTGAATTACAGCTTTGGACTCATCGCACCCAGGGAGCGCGTTTAAGCTGCGTTCCGAAGCCATGTTGACTTGAGAGATGAGTTGGGGAAAGACTTGGACTGTGGTTCTTTCAGGTAGGACCCGGGGGAACAAAAGGGGGCAAGCATCCCTGGGAAATCCCTGCTATTTATTTCATTTTCGAACTGTACAAGTTGGAGAGGGGAACCCATGTCAGGTACTAGCCCTATAGGGGAAAATGGTTAAGCGTGAACTAGGAACTAAGCTAATGGCTTATCTTCGGTTAGCCTCAGGGATAGGCTTGGTATGCCTTGGATGTCGAGTACATGGGTTGCATGGGTCGACATGGAAGATCAGTCTTGCTGAAACTGGGTCTATTGCTAATTACGTTATCTATTGGTTGCTACTTGACTGTTCTCGGTTGAATGTTTCTGATATTTTTGTTCATGGGGTTCAAGTAGATACATTCGCTAAAGTAACGCCGTATATGTGTGGCTAAAACTGGCCCGGATCCCGTGGGTATCACAGATGCAGAAACGATGTGTGACCATAAAATAAAAATTTGACAAAGAGCAAAGACATGACGCATTATTGGGACGAATAGTCCCGGGATAAAATTTTTCATCGCTGAAGCAGCAGAGGTACCTCTATGCCCATTTCCCCAGCAATGCCATGAGGGCAGCACCGGCACAAAGAAGGAAGAAGGCAATCAGCACATCGCGAATGGGAGCCTTGCGCATGGAGTGACTGAACATGAACTCATGCGCCATCAACTCAACGAGAGCAGTATAAATGAGAATGCCAGCGGAGATAGAGTCAAAGACACCGTTGACGATGAGCGTGGTTCGCCCGGTAGGCGGGTAGCTGTTTCGAACACCCAAGCCAATAGCAATGGCAATTGGAGTTGAGATTCCAAAGGCAAATCCCAGGAAGTAGGGGGTGTTGCGCTTCGATTTAGGCCAAGGAACTGTAGCTAGACGAGAACCAAGACCAAGTCCTTCAAAGGTTTGATGGAAGACAAGCACAATGTAAAGGGTAGTGAACTCGGCACCTGACACTGCAAGTGTGAGACCAATGAAAACAGAGTGGAAGATGATACCGAATTCCAGGATGAAGATCGAAGTAAGTTGGGCGGCATAGTCCTCGACTGCTTGGATGTCGTTTTCGGAGTCGCTGTTGTTATCGTGATGCTCACGGGAATGACCAAGGTGATCATCCCCTGGAATGTGATGCTTCGCCTCAGTGGCTTCGTTGACTATTGAGTTGTCATCGAGGTGGGTGTGGGTGTTGCCTTCCTCGTCGTGCACATGGCCTTGGCCAAAGTTTGAGAAACGCATAACCATCAGCTCCACAAAGAACAGAACAATAATGGTCATGAGGATGATGCCCTCCACCCAGCAGTACTCAGTAATTGGGCCAGTCAAGCACTCGTTCGTCAATGCCTCCTCTGCCGGAGCCAATAGGTGAATGAAAGCAGTGGCAATGATCACACCGGATCCGAAGTATTTGGCGATGAAAAAGGCCCATTTGGGGAATCCACCTTTCTTGCTAAAGCGACGGGCGAAGACCGGGAAGAGAGCACCAAACATGGAGCCAGCCATGATCACAAAGATGGAGGAGACTCGCAGACCCATCCGGCCGTCGAACTCATTCCCGGACTCACAAGCATCCTCACGCTTGAGGAGAGTAGAGTAGGATTCCATTGAGGTTGGTTGATGGTGACACAAGAAGTATAGAAGAAGTGTAAGAGGTCGGACGAAAAGAAGCTCTGTGGGAACAAATGAAGTGCACAGAACGAGAAAGGTAGATAATGGTGCAAGTATCCCAGTTGACGAGAGAAGATTTGTGGTCTAGTTGGGATGAGAAGAATGGGTTTGATGACCGCAAACTTGTAGCGGGGGGTGTGTGGGAAGCTAGTTGACCGCAATCCCCAAGGTCCTCGATGGTAGGCGAGATGCGTCGTTAGTCCACTAACCACGCATGAAATCACCAGGATAACCTGACAATATCAAACTTTGTGGATCCTGATTGAACTAAAGATAGCGACAAGGGAATAAATGCTCCTTCTTCTGGTCGCACGTGTATATGAGTCGCACGGTGAATCGCAATGTGAGTCGCACGGTGAGTCGCACTGTGCAAACTTTCGATGGGGTTTTCTCGACCGAATGAGTACTCTGAGAGCAAGATGGAAAATCCAGCCGATATAGATATGAATTAATGACTTGCTTCAAATAAGGGGCAGAATCAAAATCGAATGAGAATTTGCGGGATCTTTTGGTTATATTAATCGCCGGTGGCAGCCCTAGAGGGGATCCATGAGGACCTTGGGCGCGCGAAGACGTCAAGGACGGAGTTTTACACACTGTCTGACTAGTACCGGGTACCTGTGAACCAATACAAACGTAGGTGTATCCGAGAGTACCCGGTACTTAAGACTAGCGCGTTGAGGACCTTGGGGGTTTCCAAGGTTCCGATTGCGGTGATTAGGTCACGTGTATTCCGTAAAGGCGATAAGGTCCTCATGTCCTGACGTGTGTTCCATCTTTTTGTTTTTGATAGAAGTAGGATTAGGAATATTGGAAGATTGGAAGGGGGTTGAAGGAACGTGGTTGATGGCCCCCTTGGGAAAGATTTCTTTCAGCCCTTTCAGGCGTCTCGATCACCAATCAGAAGATTCGCGGCAAAAGCGCTTGGCATGATCTTGAGGTCATAGGCATTTTGACCACGCCCTTGCGCAGCACATTCGAACATGGCTCCCATTCGACGATACCTCCGCATTAGCAAATACTCAGTACTAGAATGTCGCATTTATCTGGAATCACCATCTGATTCACGATGGCTCTTGGACTCTCGCGATCCTGTCCTGCCCCGCATCATCGCTGCCGTTCGACCGCTGGTCCTTCCGAAGCTGCGTGAAGAAAATGAGCGGTTGTTCATGCGTAAGAAGGGCAAGCCAGTCAAGGATGTCATTGCAGAAGGTATGTGACATCCGATATTTCTCATATAATCAACCAAGTACGTTAACACATTACCTAGATGACTTTGAAGTGGCCATCTTCCTCCGCGAATCCCGCACCCGCCATTCACTCCTCACGCGCAACAAGACATTCCAAGGAAAGGAAAATCAGAATCAAGAGTTGAACATCGAGGTGAAACCGGACCATGTCTTGGGGGATACGACTGCCAACCCGGTTAAGCCGGCAGATGGCGAAATTATGATCGAGAGTGACAGTGAGCCTGATCTGGACTTGCACAATATTCCCGAATCTGCGGATGAAGTAGCACTGGGGACTGGACGGCGGGCAAGCAAGAGAATTCGGTCAATCAGGGAAGACCAGGTGCCACTCGAAGACACGACTGGGAGTGACGAAAAAAAGCTTCGTTTCAGCACCCATTATGAGAGCTTCAATATCTATGGATGGGTGTTATGTCTGTTGATAACCCGCAAGGGCGACAAAACCAGACCAAGCGCCGTGCCATCTGAATCAAATCGGCAGCCTCTGATGGAAGAATGGATTTCCACTCAGGCTCAGGCATCTGTTGAGGATTGATCAAAGCTAGGTCGCTGGCGAGTGTGGACCTGGCAATGCTCAATGTGGCCGACAGGGATTTTGTTTACGATTAAGCTTTCTCAACCTCGTACTGTGGGTAGCCGTGGTGGGATGATCAGTCGCAAAGGGCCTCGTGATATCGCCAGCACTGCTAGTATGGAATATTGCGAGAATTATTGGTGATGTATTTTGTTTCAACCTGCAAACGCTACAAGATTGTGCTTCAATCTGCCCGTCTTGCAAACACTGTGTCAGAGACTTCATCTCATGTTATCAAATCATGGGCTCAGGGATGCACGTCGACTCCAGAGTCCACGAGGCTAGGTGTCACTTAGAAGAGCACAAGACCTTCCCACTACCGGACCACGACAAGACTCGCACTATGTAATTTTGTGATCGGCAGGTGGGTGTCACCGAAGAACAGGCAGGTTACGCAAGTGGTGGGCTGTCATACTCCGCCGATGACTTCTTCAGGCACGGTGCCAGGTAGACGGAGCCGCTGAGACGAAAATCTCAGCCACGGGCCCCGAGCGCATGCGACCAGTGACATCTTGATGATCTGCATGCCATAAGACATAGTCTGATATTGGCTTTTCTACATGGATGTCAGTTTACATGCTTCGGTTGGATTCATGACACTCTACGACAAAACGGGCAAGAGCATGAAACTAGTCTCTCTCACACATTCCAATTTCGGAGACATTTCGATTCCCAATCTGAAAAACCCCCATATGGTACGGGCTCTCCTAACCTCGGGCCGCAACTTCCAGAAGGCAGGCTAGAAGATTTTCAAGTGGAGCTCATTTCGAAACAGCCCGTCTCCATCTCGTCCCGTGACCCAACACCTTCTCAATGGAGAAGTATTTTGGTGCCGATGCGCTGGGTTCGGGAGCATCATCCTGTACTCCGAACAGTACTCCGAACAGTACTCCGTACTAAAATTTAATACAAATACCGCAATTGGTTTTTTTATATGCTCCGGACTATCTAGCACATCTGCGTGTTTACTCCATACTCAAGCATTCGAACTATTTAGAATACCTTGGCCTCCAAACCAATAGCCAATAAACAGGCTATATGAATATCTCAAACCGATCGTGCTACGATCAGGGGCAATTCCCGATCTGTTAAACAAGGTCATAAATCTCCGACTCTCCACAGCTTTTTTTCTCCCCAACGGTGTGGAACAGTATGGAATCCAAGTGGAGTAGACTTTACCTAACTGGGATTATTGAAGTTTATGGTCCGCTAGTTCATAGAGTTTTCTTCCCATGTGTTTTTCCCACTTTCTTTGCCACTTTTTCCCACTTTTTCTTTTCCCCTTTCTTGGTTCCCCCGGCCTTAGTTCAGGTACACCCGTGTGGTCGCATATGCTTTGCCACTCGACACTCCACTTTGGATACTTTCCAAGGTTTTTTTCTTTCATCAGAGTCAAGAAGTCAAATTATGCTGTTTCTGATATATGTTCCAATTATTATCTTAGAATTTGCAATCCCTTTTACATGCCCTTTGAACATATGCGGGGTCTTGTCTGCAAACCCCGAGTACCGAGTCCCGTGTGGTATAGCATACCATTAGCACGGTCTTACTACATATGGCAGAGTGCATTTATGTGGATTTTCCCCAAGTACAATACTGTGTCTACTGTAGTAATCTATCTGCCTGAATTTATAAAAAGTGCCGTGATTAAAAAAAACTTGGAAACAAGGAACACGGCGGATGTAACAGGAGACCATTGCATTATTTAGGATCCCGGGATAATTTCCGGGGAAGACTGTAAACATCCCGAAGCTAAGAGAATCTTCTTAGACAAGTAGTACATAGTAGCAGTCTGTCCTCCGTATATATTTATACATCCAGTTCGCGCAAGATGTTCACACTGCAAACACATCCAGAGGTAATCACTACCCATAGTGAGCACGCCATGAACGCCACACCAGGGGGTGAAGTAGATCTCCCATCGTGAAACCTAAGGCCCAGTGATGTGCACAATGCAACCACTAAGGGGATGGGGAGGGGAAAAAGTTGAACAAACCCCTCTCGATGCAATCTTCACCCTTGGCCAATGATCATGAGGACTGGGGTCATATATTGCATACAGGGATCCATTTTTCTCCAGATGTACTACGACGCTATTCTGCATACTTTCGAAATGATGATGTGCACTGCACAGTCCTCTGCAGGGAGACGATCCTGGCCAGGGACTACCAGCCACAATATTACTATAGGCGGAGGTTAACCGGCTCTGTACTCCGGAGGTAACGCTCTACGCCAAACGACTCAAAAATCGTATTGCATATTGTTATTAGAATCCCGGAGGGTCTAAGCGGGGAGTAGTAAATGATAAAAGATAAGAAAAAAGAGGAGTATGAATGGAGTACGGAGTGGTAAGGAGTACAATATAGTAATTTGGAATAATAGCCGAAGTGCATGCAACTAGAGTACTAAAAGCGAAACCCGTTAGAACTGCCCAATATCAATTACCCCAAAGGGTTCTATTCTTGCATGTTTCAACCATGGATTTATTTGGTTTGGTAGCACGGGTAAAAAAACCACGGTTCAGGATGGGTCCTCGATTTCAACCCTCTTTCATTTTCAATTTTCAAATACATACTTTTTTTTTTTTTTTTTCTGGCCCCTGAGACCGTACCACCCCGGTTGATATCTGATTGTATACGGAGTGTGCATATGTACCTTGGTAATTTGGCATATATGTGTGTACATGATATGTCATATCAGTCTAAGAGATGTCGGGAAGTCGGATGAACGGGCTTATCCTTATTCTGTAATCCCAGCATTCTAGGATCTCGGCTGTCACGCCCTTAGTGTGTAATCAATACGAATCGGCCATCCCGTTTGACCCTAATTTGACGAAAGTAAAAAAGGATAGAAAAATCTCCCAATAAATTTTTTTTCTTTACTTTTTTTTTCCCACTAACGCTGCTCTCTCTCGGGATCTGCAAACATGCACGTGTTGTGATCTGACGTCTTGTTGTTCTCTCCTATTGAGTCATACAGGATCCGGTGTGCTTAGACCTATACCGTTTATCATGTCCTAACTAGAGGTTGTAAAACCAATAAAAAGAAATATTCCAAAAAGAAAAGAAAATAGAAAAAAAAAAGTCGTTCTCACCGCATCAAGGAACCGTCCCTATGGAGCCTGGTGGGCCCACGGGAGATTGCCCTTTACCAGTTGTCATCTCGCGTGGTTTCATGATTTACTATACAGAGGGGATTGTGAGACCTAAGCAGTAAATTAGAATAGCTGCATCGTTAGCCCATGTACTTTGGGCATCATTCTGTGTGTATATAGTGAGGTAGCACGACATATATGTTTGATTACTATGTCTCATTTCCCTCCACTCCCTGTCCTCCACTAGTGGTTCACAGGAATAACACAAAGCGCCACAACAGAAGGAGTGGGGAACTTCTAGAAAAATATGGGAATTTTCTATTGGGCTACCCACTTGGGGCTGCATTATTCATCCGTTGCCTTGCCCGAGGCCCAAGTTGAGCAAGTAAATCGTATTAAATTCCTACGTCAGATCAGGTGGATACTCAGCCTCCTGTTCATGGCAGGGATGTTCAATGGGGATTTTGGGGCCTAATTTAGTCTGTATTAGTGACGGTTGACCGGAAAGGTTGGGGGGAGGGAGACTTTTATTTCTATAAGAATCCTGCTCCCGTAACCTTTTTTTTCCCCCCTTCTCCCCATCCACTTGACTCTACACCTTATTTTGCTCTTACTGGCTTGGTCTATTCTCTGTCAACCTGAAGAACCACCACTGTCAACCTTCCAACTCTTCCAGCCCTTCCAACACAATTCACAATGCCTTCCGTCGGATCTTCTCAATTCCCTCCATGCCCCGGTCCTCCTCCTAAGGGCCCTCTGCCTCCGCTTCCGAAATAAGCAGTCCATAGTCCCCTCTTCTCAACGAACATGATGACCCCGGCGCATTCTGGTCCACCAGATCCGCCCACGACCTGGACCCTCTCAGCATGGATATTATGACTTCGACTTCGACCTAGTTTCGACTCTCACCTGCGATCCTTTGTTTTCGATTCGGACTTTCAACACCTAATTCACACCATGGTTCCGCCCAAACAAAACACGCTCTTACTTAAAAAAGTTGGTCTTGAGACCGGACAACGCAAAGACCGCTAGCTTTTCCACCGTGCTTGCCTCTTGGCATTCAATTCGGCGATGCATCGCTAGCCACGGCTTGATACGAGTGGAAAAACTTGTTTTGAATTGGCCTCGGACAATTCTTTTAATTCTCATTTTTGGGATTCATTTTCTTTGTTCTCTCGCTCTACAGCAACATGGGACCCAGCGCCGGCGCTACCTTCCCCTCGACGTGCATTAATAGCCTTTCTATTTCTTGCTCTTTGTCTCACTTCAACTCTCAACACTATTGATCACGCCCCGGTCTTCTGTGGGGCTTTTCCTTTCACCCATTCGATCTTGACCCATCTGTGACGCGCAGACGCGGAGAAAGATGCAGCTCCTCGCCCGCTGCACATTAATTGGATAACGCAAATTCATCTACAGCCCCCTTAGGGCCTAAGATCAACTGGGGCTACCTTGCGATCGTCGCCATATCACGGATGGGGTGCATAGTGTCTTTTCCTTTTCCCTGTCTGCCGTTGTGACCTGTCATTCTGACCGTTTGAATCCTTTTTAATTCTCTTTTTTTTTGGTTTCTTTTTTCCCCTTGGTTTTTCTTATGTTCTTCTGCATCTGGCCGAATCTGAATCGATATGTATCATAGACTTAGTATACCCAACAGAGCAATTTGTGATTTATCTACAACAATTCCAAGTATTTGATTAATTGCTTACGGTCCATGCATATGTCGTGCATAAAGAAGACTGGGGACTGCGGGTGACAACCCACCTGACCGCCCGTTTCACTAACCAGCCGGCATCCCGCACAAAACCACTAGCAGTGAAGCTAGCAGGGATCTCACGGGGGCGGATGTCGCGGTAATCGAATTGAC